AAGCTGCCCCCGTTTAAGGAGGGCCCCTTGCCGCGGGGGGCGCTACGGCGCCTTGCAGTGTGCGATGCATCGGTGCCACTCGGTGTGTAACACAAGCTTCGCCTCTGCCCCCCCCCAGCCCTGAATGAGCCCACCATCGACTACGGCTTCCAGCGGCTGCAGAAGGTCATCCCCAGGCACCCCGGCGACCCTGAGCGCTTACCCAAGGTCAGTTCTGTTCCCCCCTCCCTTCCTCCCTTGTTCTCCCCCCCGACAGAAAATGACTGTAGGACCCCTCCAGCTACCCCTCAATGGCCACACTGCCCCTCATGCTGATAAATGCAAGTGTAGATGGACTCCAACTCATTCGCTCTCGCTCCCCCCCACTCGGTCTGTCCTGGCCACCCCGAGCACCGGGGGCATCACTGTGGCTGGGGCTGGCATGGTTGCCATGGTAATGACCCCCCTTCACAACCCCCCCCTTCTGCCTCGTCCAGGTGTGGTATCCTGAGGCCGCGGTCGTGCCTAGAGAGGCAGTCCTGTGACACCACGTCACCTGAGATGGAGGCTCTGAGTGTTTTCATTAAAACCCCCCCAAAAACCAAGAGCATTTTGTTTGTGCTGGAGTTGCAGCAGGAAGTGACATTATCCGTCACCACAGCCCTAAGTGTGACAAGAGAATGGTGGAGAGAGCAGAGCAGGCCTGTGCGGGCCGTGACTAAAGCAAGCATCCCATGTGACATGGGCAGGATACTGCGCAGATGCCCCCCCACCCCCCGGGCCAGCAGGGAGTCTGCTACTGTGTGTGTTTTATGTGCAAAGAGTGTAGCACGAATCATGTTGTACGAGGGGAGCTGTGCTGAGGCTTTGTCAGGGACAGGTGCTCAAAGGTTAGAAAGCGGCACTCGCTGCCCTTAAAGCTCACGCACAAGTTCACGTTAAATAATTCAGGTGCTCAGGCAACCCCAGCCGCCCCCCCACACATGTCTGAGTGTCATGATTGCTTGCTCTCCATTGGCCACGACCCCGGGTCACCTGACAGGCGTTCCCCACAATTCCCTGCCCACCGCGACTGTGAGAGGAGTTGAATCTGACAGGTGTTACTGAGGAAAACATTGACTGGCAGGTATTGGCAGGGCCCACATGTGTGAAGGCGTGACACCATGCATGTGTGAAGGCGTGTGTGTGTAATGCCGTATGTTTGTGATGGCATGTGCGTGACACCATGTGTTCGTGACGCCGCGTGTGACACAGCGTATGCCATCTGTGCGTGCGTGATGCAGCACACGTGTCACTGCATGTGTTTAATGGCGTGCGTGCGATGGTGTGCGCGTGTGCGATGATGTGTGCGTGTGTGTGATGGTGTGCGCGTGTGTGATGATGTGCGCGTGTGCCATGGTGTGCGATGGTGTGCGCGTGTGGTGTGCGCGTGTGCGATGGTGTGCGTGTGTGCGATGGTGTGCGTGTGTGCGATGGTGTGCGCGTGTGCGTGTGTGCGATGGTGTGCGCGTGCGCCATGGTGTGCGCGTGTGCGATGGTGTGCGCGTGTGCGATGGTGTGCGCGTGTGCGATGGTGTGCGTGTGTGCGTGTGTGCGATGGTGTGCGCGTGCGCCATGGTGTGCGCGTGTGCGATGGTGTGCGCGTGTGTGATGGCCACCCCAGCCTACCGAATTCTCCAAGTTCCCAGACTTGTCTGGTTTTCAGCACAAAGGAAAAATAAACCCTTCAAACAGAAATCCTCTGTTTGCTCCCTAAAACCCAAGTAAATAACCAAACCAGAGCTTTATATCATAACATAACTCATCACGACATAACAAAGCAAACTCAAAAGCCCTCTGCTGCCTGCATCCTGCCCCACACCGCCTCCACACACCCCCGCGCACACACACACACACACACACACACACACACACACCTACACAGTGTTACCACTGGTGATAATGAGCACATACCTCATCTGGCTCTTCCCCACTGCTCTCGAGGGGTTAAGTCCGCAGCACGAGGCTATATGGGCCTCCAGAGCCGCGCCCCCCCCCAGCGGGGCTCTGATCTGAGAGGGAGGCAGACGCAGGTGATTCATCATTGTGAAGCCAGCTGTCCTGGCCGCCTCCTCGCAGGTCACCCGATCGAAGGCGCTGCTGCCCAGACTTTATTACTGCTCGCCCAACAGTAATTGAGTCACTGTGAGGGGGGAGAGGGGGGAAGAGGCGGGAAAAGAGGAAAATAGGGAAATAAAGAGAAAGAGAGATCTATTTCTCTGTTACGTCTCCACATCCGAAAATGCTGATTCTCAATAAAGTAGAGGGATGTGTGGATCAAAGGAATGCCAGCAGCAGAAAGGGAAGCGGGAGAGTGGAGGCAGTGTCAGGCTTTACCCAGAAGCCCCTGCTCGCGGCCTCGCAGTCCCCACTCGCCCTGCCACCCCTGCTGATATTAACGGCATCAGTTTCCAGGCCTGGCTGTTCATTTCTCCACTATCGATTTTCCCCTTTATTGAGGTAATAACACTTTGTTGACGCACTTCTGTAAAGTGCTGGACTCAATCACCGGCAGGTGAGAGATGGATGGGCCGTGGACACGCCCCCCCTCACCCCCCCCCTGGCCAACCTGCCCGCCCCTCACCTGCCCGGCACAAGGGCATTGGTGTGACCTGTATGAGACGTCAGTAAGATCAAGGCAGAGTCGCTGTCACGGAATGTTCCAGTTTACAGGCACCAGGCGGTCAGCCGATTGTGTCCCGCTGCTGGTATGATGGATGGAAGACTGGGAGAACTGGGAGATCTGAAGTGTATTTCACTGTAGACACATAGGAGCAGGACATTTTTTCGCGTCAGTTTATGGACTGACAGGGAAATAAGAAGTTCCGGACATTACACAGCAGACCGTGAGTCTGACGCCTGTGACCCGTAGGACAGTCAGTGGTTCCGTTTCATGGCGATGAGTTATTTATACACTCATGATCATGTTCGTTCCCTCATTCGTTCATCTCGCCCCCCCCCCATCATCGTCGTCACCGTTGTTTATTTCCCAAATTTTCCCTGTCAGTTCATACCCACCTGATCCACAGCCCCCCCCCCGCACTCTACGGGTCTGAATCTAGCACACCCCCCCGATCCTGTTTGTGATGAGTGCCACACAGCCCACGTCTGTGTGTGTGCGTGTGTACATGTGTGTGTGCGCACGTGTGTGTCTGTGCGTGTGTGTGTCTTTATGTGTGTGTGCGCGTGTGTGTGTGAGCGGGTTTACCTATCCTTATGGGGACACAATGTCCCCATAACGTGATAAATATCCGTTTTTTTCCCTTATGGGGACCGGATTCCTGGTCCCCATAAGGGAAAACTCTATTTTATAAAAAACGGTGACTGCTATGAAAAAACTAAAAATGCAAAAACTCTTGTATTTTGTTAGGTTTTGTTATGGTTATGGTTAGGGCAGGGTAGGGGTTAAGGTTGTCATAGTTAGCGTTAGCATTTTTCCCATTGAAATGAATGAGCGGTCCCCATAAGGATATGTTTACCCTACATGTGCGTGTGTGTGTGTGTGTGTGTGTGTGTGTGTGTGCATGTGTGTGTGTCTGTGTGTGTGTGTGTGTATGTATTTGTGCGTGTGTGTTTGTGTGTGTGTGACCTGTAGGTCTGACGTACACACAGGAACCTTTGTTCCATTGAGGTGGCCTATGAACACCGATAACTGAACACTGAGCACCGATAACTGAACACTGAACACCGATAACTGAACACTGAGCACCGATAACTGAACACTGAGCACCGATAGCTGAACACTGAACACCCATAACTGAACACTGAGCACCGATAACTGAACACTGAGCACCGATAGCTGAACACTGAGCACCGATAACTGAGCACCGATAACTGAACGCTGAGCACCGATAGCTGAGGCCTGATAACATTCAGTCTCCTGCAGGCGAGTGACGGCCATCCAACCACAAACCACCTTTGCTTCTGTTTTCTTTACTATGCAGCCTGTTGGTGTCGGTCACATAGGAGTCATTTCATTGGCCTGCACCCCACCTCAGTGTGTCAGTGGGCTGGCCCCCACCAAGGGGCCCCAGGCACCGTAACGTCAGTCTGTGCCCCCTGATTCGGAAGCTTTCCTGTCATTTCCAGAGCTTTCCCGCTCTGCGTGACCGTCAGCCATGCTTTGGACATGACCTGGCCTCTGGCACGTGCCTCATGCATGTGATGTCATCCCACAATGCTTTGCTGCTCGTGGGGGGGCGGCGTGAGGTGATACAGGGGGCGGAGCTGATCCATCCCTGACCCCACACAAGCCGGTCCAGCGTGATTTACAGCGGCTCGCTCTGCGTCCCGCTCGTTAACCATCAGCCACTTAACGAGAGGAGCTACAGGGGCATTGAGGTATAAGGAGAACAAGCGGAGGTTGCCCAGCTCACCTCATGCCAGCAGAACATACCGGTCTGGGGGGGGGTCGAACCCCCCAGATGGAAAAATGGAGCAAATCCAAGATCTGCACTGAGAACTAGATGAGTGGGTGGTTCTGCCGTTCACAGAGGGAGGTGGGCAGGGACCATTGCAGAGGAAGGCATTAGCGAGATGGTGCGATTTGGGCCCCCCACCTCGAAGGGGCCTGGTAGACACCAGCTTCCTGGCTGTGGTGGTGTGGAGTCTGTCTGCCCCCCTACGAAGGTCTGTGTGGCAAGGGGACCTGGAGAGATTAAGACACTGAATCAGAAATGAAACGGTACCTACGTATGGAGTATGTACAGTGTTTCTGGGCTGTAGGGGTTTGGGGGGCGGGGGGGTCCAGTGCCGGGCTGGAGGAAACGGCGTTAATGAAATCAGAGTGTGCATTACACAGAGCCTGGGGTCACGGGGTCAAGGCAGGAAGTATGACATCATCATTTCTGTCTTTCCCATAAGAAGAATGTCTGCCGCCCAGCTTGTATTACAGCCTTAATAGGACATTAGGAGACGATAAAATCTCAAATGAACAAGTGCAGCCATGAATTCCTCATCCTTACAGCGGTTCAGGCCGCTGGGGAACACACAATACTGGCTGCATTCACACCCACGTGTGACATGGACACTCTCTCCTCGCGTTCCCTGTGCCTCTTAAGAAGAGGGGTTTGCAGCCGGGGCTTTGACACAGCAGCCGGTGGGGGGGGCTGGGATGTCGGTGTGTGTGTGCCAGGGATCACAGGGGCTGTGCACCGAGAGGCATTTCTGGTGTGAACAGGAAGTGGGCAGCGGCGATAAGCGTGGGTCCAGGAGCTGGGACTGGCAGCTGTGCTGGAACTCCCCGCTTCTGCGGGGGTGGCGCTGTGTGCTGAGCGATGCATGGGGGCCTTCGCCTGCCTGCCCCCCTGCCCACCCGCCTGCCTGCCCCGGATCAGGTTTCTTTCCTGTTTATTGCTCTCCGCTCTGTTTTACTGGAACCGCTTCTGTGCCAGGGAACCGGGCTCCAGTTACAGGCGGGGGGCCAGTGGACAGCGAGTGGCTAATGTCATTTGTTTGTTTGTGGGGACAGACTTCGGGTGGGGGTCTAATCACGTTTGTCCCCCCTGCATATCCTCTGTCAAGGAGCAAGATGAATAGGTGTGGCGGAGGGGTGGGGGGGTGGGAATGTTGCGGATATGTTCCGCCCTGGGAATGGAGATGGATACGGCCAGCAGGGGGCATGAATGAGCACGGCTGTGAGCGCCTCTCTAAAGAGGGTGTCCCGCTTCCCGGCCGCGTACTTAATGCCCGAAATAGGAGCCGGAGCTTGAATGCATGTTTTTCCTCCTTTCCCGATTTCCCCCGGTCGTACGTGTCCGCTGTGAGCCGCCGTCGGTGAGTATTCCCCTCCCGGCCCGCGTTCGCCAATCAGGCCCCAGACTCTCGCCTGGTCTCCCGGAAAGCGTCGGTAATGAGAGGTTAACGCGGTGGCAGCGTCCCCATTACTGAGTGAACGTGGTGCCCCCCGACAGCGTAGTAAAATCTTTATTGCTTTGCTGACCTCCCTGTCATGCCTGCACCGGCTGCTCGCGGGGACGCGGGGACGCGGGCTGGCCTCACACCGCGCTCACGTTCCAGCTCACACGCCTGGGGTTACGGCCGGGGGCTCAGAGCAATTTTCTGCTTGTCACGCCGCGAGAGCTGTGCACCCTCTCATGCGGGGGGGGGGGGGGGGGGGGTTGTGCTAGGTGCCTGTTTAAGAAGGAGAGAGGAGAACACAGAGAAGCCACTGGAGGATGGGCATGGTGAATGTGAGGCCTAGGCTGCTGCTTCTGGGAATTCCGGACAGCTGGGATTTTCCTGTTTTGTTTTTTTTTTCCCATGGACTGCGATCCAGCCCCGCCTTGCATGTGCGTGTGCCTTGCGTCTCGCTGGCCGGGACACATGGGCGATAGGTGGTGTTGCAGACCCTCAGGCCACCTCCCATCATCGTGCCGAGGACCTCCGCCCTACCATGAGCGGCTGTGGGGAATTTCACCACAGTATGTCAGTCATGTCTGTGGCCCCCTCTCAGGCATTGTTCCCAAACTCCCGACAATATCAGTGTGAGGAGGTGGGGGGGGGGGGTCCGTAGCCAAAGCTCTCACAGAACTTTAACATAATGGCGAAATGCCCCCCCTCCCCCCGAAGAGGTTTTCAGTCTGCATGTTTGGCCTTGCTGAGTGACACTGCCAACAGACCTCAGCAGGTTACTGGTTTGGCATCTTCATTGTCAAGAGCAGCTATTTAGCATTTTTATAAGTTTACTGAGTTTAGTAGGATTTCGGCTGAAGGTCGTCAGTTGCTTCACCGCTGATGCCGTATCGTCCCTCCCCATGCAGGAAGTCATCCTGAAGAGGGCAGCTGACCTAGTAGAAGCTCTGTACGGGATGCCACACAACAACCAGGTGAGGGGGGGCGGGGGGCCCTGCACGGAGGGGTTAAGGCAGAGGTATTCACACTGTGGGGCACAAAGGAATGGTGTGGGGGTGCAGGTGAGGGGAAAAACACCTGATCTGGTGCAGGGTGGGGGGTTGAGCTAGAGGTAGATCTATTTCAAAATCACAACCTTAGAAATATTAAAAATAACAAGAACACATTATATGAAGCTAACAAATTAAAACAGGTTTAATATGTAAAATAGGCACCACGTGCTGAACACATCAAAGTATTATGACTAGTGAAATAACGAAAGTTTACAGTGGGATAGTTGCTTGGTTAATGCTGACATACTTAGAGGAAGCATGGAGATATACCCACGGTTCCCTGAGTGACAGTAATGCCTGAGTGGCCCCCTGCAGTGTTTCTCTCCATCTTCACTGGCTCCCTCTAACCCGCTATGATGACGTCTCGATGACACGGCCCCTCTCCCCACGGCAGGAGATCATCCTAAAGCGGGCAGCGGACATCGCGGAGGCGCTCTACAACGTGCCGAGGAACCACAACCAGCTGCCGGGTCTGGCCAACAGCTCTGTCCATGCCGGCATGATGGGGGTCAATTCCTTCCCGGGCCAGCTGGCAGTCAACGTGTCCGAGACCACTCAAGCCGCTAACCAAGGTGGGCACCCCCGACACCCAACCCCCGACACCCAACCCCCGACACCCGACCCCCGACACACTCCATGATGCTGCTGGGGATCTTTTTAGAGCCCTCACTGTATCAGCTTGTTCCAAACATGGATGGAAGCATGCATGGATGGATGGATGCCGAATCCGATTTTACCATTGTCATTTCCCCCATAAGTCTCTCTGAGCAAGAAGAACCCAATTTTTTATATATATATCCAGGCCCTTGCGCGTTTTTTGTGGACAGGCTGTCATGACAGATGACAGTACTTATAAGAGACACAAAACTCTGCGATTGCGGCAGTGACGGCTGACAGAGTAAAAAAAACCACCAAGTCACCTTGTAGCAGATTTCAGGTAGAGTGAAGGCGGGCCCTGTAAATCCGGGGGTGGGGGGCTGCACGCTGTAATTAAGCCGCTTTATTTATGGAGCGGGCATATAAACAAGTCCCCCACCCTGAGGGGATCAGTGATCCTCACAGGGACAGAGTGAGGGGGGGTCACCGTGGCCAGCATGTCCTCATTTCCTGCTCCTTCGTCCTGACATTGGTGGCTCCATCAGGGCTGTATGGTTGGCGTTGGCTCAGATGTTACCTCCTTGGTATAAGTTAAGAGGCACAATCTCTGTGCCGGGGGAGGGCTGGTACGCTGGGGGGGGCGGGGGTCTCAGGGTGTAAACGAAGGTACACCATGACCCATGGCTGTCCCTGGTGTCCCTCATAACGGGGAACGGGCGTCCAGGAGTCCACAAGGGCGGGACCCTAGGTCTGTGATTTTTGGGTGGAAGGTCTATATTTCACCTCTCCAGCTCTGTGGTTCTGGTTCTGGTGGACTCTCTGTCTCTTTCTGTGTGTGTCTCTCTCTCCCTCTCTCTATCTCTCTCGCTCGCTCGCCTGCCTGCCCCCTGCCAGAATATCGGCCAAGGGTCACGCATCCATGGAGCCGGCAGGGTTTTTTCGCCGCTGGCTGACCTCGGCACCGAGGCCCGGCTCTAATTAAGCCGGGAACACCTAATGAAAGGGAGAGCGGCGGCGCAGTGCGGCGGCAGCTACGGCGGCGGTAACGAGGTCACGTGGCTCTCCATCGCCCGGAGAAATCGCCAACTCGCGGCTCTGCCGACGACTCGACGATTTGCAAAGGCCTGGACGCAGCGGGGGCGGGATGGGGGGGGGTTAAGTCTCCTGTCACGCTCACCTTCAGAAGCAGCCGCTCTGAATCACACACACAGCGAGCCGTCTGAAGCTGCATTAAAATCAGCTGTTACTGAGCGTGCTCAGAAGGGCCCGTTATTGGTCTTCCTCCCAGGAAGTGTGTCCCAGGCCTGATTCCTCTCATTGTGGGCGCCCGCTCCGCTCCTCACCCAACCCCGCATGCAGTGACAGCTGGGAAATCTGCCGACCACCCAGAGGCCGCTTACAATCACAAGCCATTTTCTCTGAGTGTGATGGAGATATAAGACAAATATGTAGCGAATTAGTGGGAAAATCCTACATATCCGTATGTGATTTCAGGGCGAATGTTGGGGAGATGGATGTGCTGGTCGTCTTGTTCTACGCGCAATAGCGGTTTGTAAAAGAGAAGCTCCTTCTTGTCACAGAGACTATGAAGCATTTAGCTGGGGAGGGAGAGAGATTGCGGGAAGGCAGACTCAGGAACAATGTTCTGTTTCCTGAGAGATTATAGCGATTTCTGCTGCGTAAATCCGACAATAAACTCCCGGCCATGAATAATTCAGCAGGTCCTGCTGCCAGAAGGCGGAGGCTTAATAGAGCAGCCCGCTGAGGAACACAGCGCTCGTGTTTGTATTTGCGCTGTGGAGGCCTAGCGGGTGACCTGGGGGAGGGGTCACAGCGGGGCCTCCAGAGAGCCGGGCGTAGTCGAATACCGATGGCACGCTGAGGTGTCAATATAAATTCACGGTCAGGCCTGACCTTTCGGGGTTTACCTTTCCTATGGACCTGGGTATCACACACAGCAAGGGGGCGGGCCAAGGCAGGGAAACCAAACAGTGGCCGGCTCCTGCTGAAGGCCACGCTTGTGTTTCTAACCACCCCCGCCTTCTGTCTCCCCTTACTACTGCCCCCTGCTGACTGTCCCCACAACGCCCCTCCTAGGCTTCAGCCGGAACACGAGCAGCGTCTCCCCCCACGGATACGTGCCCAGCTCCACGCCCCAGCAGACCAGCTATACCTCCGTCGCCACCAGCATGAATGGCTACGGTAACACGGGCATGTCCACGCTGGGCGGCTCGCCCAACTTCCTCAACGGCTCCGCTGCCAACTCGCCCTATGCCAGTGAGTGCCCTCTCCCCGCATTCCCAGTCACACACCACACTCACACAGTAAGGTTTGCATCAGCAGGCTGAAATATAATTTTTAAAAAATTTTCTTGTCCTCCTCTTTTTTGAGCTCTTCTTTCATTGGCTTCATATGATGCCATCTCTGCCGGGGTTTCCAGCCAATGCTCTTAAACAGCATTCTCCTGCTCCTTTAATCAGGCATTTTCTGGTTCCCGTCCTCCCACCACTTTAATCTGGTGTTTTTTGATTCCCTTCCTCCCGCCCCTTTAATCAGACGTGTTCTGGTTCCCATCTTCCCTCCCCTTTAATCTGGTGTTTTTTGGTTCCCCTGCCCCTTTAATCTGGTGTTTTTTGGTTCCCATCCCCCCCGTCCGTTTAATCTGGTGTTTTCTGGTTCCTATCCCCCTGCCCCAATGTGTTCTGGTTCCCATCCTGCCACCCCTTTAATCTGTTTTTTTTTAGTTCCCATCCTCCCGCACCTTTAATAGAATGTGTTCTATTTCCCATCCACCAACCCCTTTAATCTGCAATTCTTTGGTTCCCGTCCTCCCACCCCTTTAATCTGCAGTTTTTTGGTTCCCATCCACCAAACCCTTTAATCTACAGTTTTTTGGTTCTCATCATCCCACCCCTTTAATCTGTAGTTTTTTGGTTCCCATCCTTCTACCCCTTTAATTTGCAGTTTTTTGGTTCCCATCATCCCAGCCCTTTAATCTGCAGTTTTTTGGTTCCCATCATCCCACCCCTTTAATCTGTAGTTTTTTGGTTCCCATCCTCCCACCCCTTTAATTTGCAGTTTTTTGGTTCCCATCATCCCAGCCCTTTAAGCTGCAGTTTTTTGGTTCCCATCCTCCCAGCCCTTTAATCTGGTGTTTACTCCATGTTTCCTTATTGTTGGTTCCCCTTCAGTTGTTGCTCTTTTTCAATTAGGAAAGCAGTGAGCGTGGTGAAGGTACGCCTTTGTTCGCTGTAGTTATGGCAGGGAGGGATGTGGAGCACGAGATCCTTTCCAGTCTCAAAGCGGCAGGAGATCCTGGCAGGGAATCCGAGACGCACCGCGGTGGCGGGCGGGTGATTTATGCCTCGCGGCAGTGAGACAGACACTGCCACGATATTGATGCTCATCAGGAAAGCCGATCGCGCTGTACCTTTAACAGGAGGTGGGATTAAAAAGTGCCCCACCTCCCAGCAACTCCTTGCGTGTCCGTAACGCCTGACCGCTTGTGAAACACCAATCTTCTGTCACAGCTTCTAAATTAAAGACTCTTAATTAAATCAATAAACTAATCGCAGGAGCAGTGGTTCAATTTCAGCGCCTCGATTCGCCGATGTTAACGAGTGTTTTAAAAGGGCCCCCTGACTCCTCTCGGGGGCTTTTGATCGATCCCGGGGCCATGCTCTGGAGCTCCGGTCCTCATCAATCGATTAGTCAGACCTTCGTAAATGGCCGATGACATTACGTGCGGTGCGGAGTGTGAAAGGCAGACCCTAACACAGAGGGGGCCGTCCTGAAAGGTGGAGGAGGCTCGCGGGCCCCACAGGGAGAGACTGGAGGGCCCAGGGTCACATGTCTGATGGAGGCACCATAATTAAGATGGAGCTGAGGAAGGGAGGCCGCACACCTTCTGAAGGGATGCTAGCTCCAGTCCTCGGCACCCTAGTTTCTCTGTTTCCTTTCCGTCTGTGCTGGAGTACTGCTGCCCCCCGTCCCCTCTGAGCCGCTGTCTCCCCCCCGCAGTCGTGCCCTCCAGCCCCACCATGGCCTCCTCCACCAGCCTGCCCTCCAACTGCAGCAGCTCTTCTGGAATCTTCTCCTTCTCTCCTGCCAACATGGTGTCTGCCGTCAAGCAGAAGAGCGCTTTCGCACCCGTGGTGCGGCCCCAGGCCTCGCCGCCGCCCACCTGCACTAGTGCCAACGGCAACGGCCTGCAAGGTAAGGGGGGGGGCATCATGCCTGATCTGTGCTGTACTCTTCACTGGATCACCTTTGCCTCACGGTCAGGGGAGCCACAATAGTCCCACACACACACCCTCCTGACCCCCCTCCCACCCAGAGATCTGGGAAGCCCCAGAAGGTCCCACAGGAGGATGGGATTTTGTGCCTGAAGGTGGCTCAGGGAAGCACTTCAGTTGCTATGACAACTAGTGGAAAGACAGGAATGACCCCCCCGTGCTGACCTGCTCTAACCCCCCCTCCCTTGTTCCGCCTGTAAATAACACGGCTGTTTTCTCTCTCCTCCCGCCCCTCCCTGCTACGTCGGCTCACTCCAGATCAATCTTTCGTGGACTCTAGCAAGTACTCAACAGCCGGCTCGTTACAGGGCCTGGCCTTCTCCTGAAGTATGTCCTCCGCCTGCCTGTCCGTCACTCCCTTCATCTGCACCTCCCCCGCATGTGTCTCACTTCCTGTTTGGCTTCCTGTGTGTCACTTCCTGCCTCTGTCTGTCCTTGGTTTTCTGCTTCATCAGTTTCTACCGTTTCGCTGTTTTCTTCCTTTTGTTTTTACACGTGCTGCCTGACGGCTTTACAGTCCCATCAACACTGAGGCCTAATAAAACACTCCCTCCGCTGGGCTGTAACGTAAACACCCGCCATGACATAACGTGTTCGCCTGGCTCAGGGGGCATAAGGGCCGCACAGACCGCCCAGTATCACATCCCTAGATTAGACGGTGAACGGATCACACCTCTGAATGCAAAGCAGTGTCTCAAAAATGCCAGGGAATCAGCATATGGGAGAGAGGAGGGTACAGTTTAACAGAGTGTACAAAGTGCAGTGTAGTGTAGAAGCCAAAATTTAAAGGGGAGGCTGTGGGGACAATAATTTGACATCCCTTTAAGTGCTCATAGGGAGATCGTGAGAATGGATAGGGGCTGTTTTGTGTTTTTTTTGTGGAAGGGCAAAGGGGAGCAGCGAGCAGCATAAACATAAGGCCACGCCGCCTCTCTGCCACAGAACACTGGCTCTGCTGTCCCAGAGACAGTCGGAACCCTGCGATCTTTAAAAAAAAACAAGATGTAAAAGGAGACCAATAAGTAAAGGAGCAGGCCGCGGGTTGTGGGAATCTAGGAGGCGTGGGTACGGTCCTGCGCTGTCTCACACGGCAGGGGGCGTGTGAAGCCGGAAGGTGGCCCTTTAGCCCTGTTTGTGGACCGCTTGGTAATAGACACAGCAAAATCAGGCCCTCCCCAATTCAGGGGTCATCCCCCCCCCTCCCCGGCAAGTCTACCTGCCCCCAACTTCTCTCTGCCCCATCAGCAATCCTCCTTTCTGAGAGGAACTGGTGCCTGTGGGGGGGAGGGGGGGCTCGTTTTATGTTTGTCAGCAGATGCAAACTTCCTTCAGGTCAAACTTGCAACAATAAGCAGTTTTCTGCCGCGCATCTGAAGCATAAACATTATAGGATCCTCAGCGATGGCCCTGATCGCTCCTACACTATAGAGGATCCTCAGCGATGGCCCCGATCGCTCCTACACTATAGAGGATCCTCAG